TTTGGCCCTTCCAGAGTCCCCGGCGTCCACCGCCCATCCATCAGCCAGCATACCAGGTGGCTGGCTCTCAATGGCGGAGCCCGGGTTCTCCGAGGTTCCCATCCCCTTGTGGCAGGGAGCCCATGGAACACCCATGCATTCCACAGCCCACCTTCTCTCCTCTTTACCATTTCTGCCTGACATACCCTCAGAGCACTGCCATTTTCTCCCAGCTCATTTCTCCCCCTCCTTGGAGTGAGAGAAGGAGGGGTAGGTGGATCTTGGAGACCTAGTCCCTGCCCCAGGTCCCACCACCCTCAGGAGTCCCATCAGCGTCATCAAGGCATCCATTCCAGCTGTGCTCTTCCTCCTCCTTGGGGGCAAATAGGGGCTGGGGAGCTTGTAAACCTTAAAGGGATAAGTCATTATTATTGATCAGGGGACCTAGGTGTGAATTCTGTCATTAACTTATGGTGTGACCTTGGGCAAGTCACTGCTCTTGTCTGAGCATCACTTTCCTGATCCGTACAACGAGCTACTGAGAGAGGTTGTTTGTAATAATCAATTAACAAACATTTATGAGCACCTACTATGAAGGAATGGATGAGTGAAAAAGCATTTAGGAAGTTCTTACTATGGGCCAGGCTCTGTGTTAGGCGCTAGGTGCAAATACAAAAGTAATTCAGTGCTGGCCTGCAAGGATCAGCTTTTTTTCGGTTTGGTTTTTCTCTTAAAGATCAGCCTTACCCCCAAATTACTCTGGCTCCCATGGACTGGCCAGCAACAGGTCCCAGGCCCAGCCCCACTTGGTCGTTGTTTGGGCCCTGATAGGCTTAGAGGCAGCAAACAGCAGCTGTTTCTGTTTTGGCCAGAAGCCCTGAGGGTCTTCCCCTCCCTGATCTATTTTCTGAAGAGACCATTCTGGCCTCAATTTCTTAAGCAGCCCTAGTGACTGAATGGGTGCTGCCTCAGTCAAACTGAGACCTGGTAAGGACTGAGCTTGAAAAGGCTGACAAGGATCCCCACTGCTTTGGGGACGTCTCCAGTCCTCCTGACGGGCATCTGGCCACTAGACCCACATGGCTCCAGAGGAGAAAGTGAGGCTGGCAACTTCCCACAGTCCTGCCTCACTCAAGTCCAAGTCACCCGCGTGTCGTGGCGTCACCTCTCTGACATCCTGGTTCTCTTTGAGAACAAAGGGTGGTCCAGCGGTTGGAGAGCTGAGCCCAGAGTCAGGAAGCCCTGAGTTCAAATCTGCCCACAGACACTTACAAGATGTGTGACCCTGGGCAAGTCACTTCACCCTGTTTGCCTCAGTTTCCTCTTAATAATAATAATAGCACCTAAGTTTACATGAGATATTTATACAATTCTTAGCACAGGAAGCACTGTATAACCTTGGGGGAGATAACACTCGGAGGGAAATGGTGGCCAAGGAAGGTGCTGGGAATGTTGAGTGATCCACAGAGCAGTGCTCTATGTGGACGTATCTGACCCCCGCCCATCACATCTTTTCGTTGCTGAATCATCTGGGTTGTGTCGACTCTTCATGACCCCATTTGGGGTTTTCTCAGCATCGATACATGCTGGAGTGATTTGCCATTTCCTTCTCCAGCTCATTTTACAAATGGGAAAACTGAGGCAAGCAGGGTGAAGTGACTTGCCCAGGATCACATAGCGTCTGAATCGCCTAATTCCAAGCCCAGTGCTCTGTGCACTATGGCTCCACCTAGCGGCCTCTTAAAGCTATAAATCACAGAACACTGTTAGGACCCCACTTTGGTCTCAACTCCTTGGTCCAGGCCCAAGGAGAAGCTTTATCGCTACTCAACCAGCCTTCCACGAAAACAATGCCCACCCCCCCCCAATACTGAAGGCCTGACTGCTGTCTTTGAGAAAACGGGGCAAAAGCTGAGGGGGCAGGGCCCCCACCTCGGTTCTCCCTGAGGATGCAGCTGGGGTGACTGCCCGGCCTAGGACAGGGTGGGGTCCAGGTAAGATTCACTCACTGAAGGACAAGACTCTGTCCCAAAGCTTTGACCAGATCAGGCTAATGATTGACTAAGAGAAGGAAGAAGCCTTTGATTACATACCTGGGCGGTGGGGGTGGGAAGGAGCGGTCTGGGAGAGGTAGGGCGGTGCAGGGATCAGAGCCTCCTAGAGGGCGTGCCTCTTCTGAGTCACAGTCTTTCTCATTCTGTGACCTCCTTCTCGGTTTGATCCTATCTGTGGGTTTTTGCCGGAGAATAATGTAAGCCCCGACACCAAAATGGCTGGTGTAAGAGGGAGGTTTCCAGAGTTGGGGGAAACTGGCCAGGTGGGACTTGCGTCTCTCTCCCTGTGCATCAGAAGGCAGCTGGGTAAAGCCCCCGACCCTCTTCTGAATTGTGCTTTTAAATGAGCCAAACACATGGGGTTTCAATGGAAACCAAAGATGCTGAAAGTTATAAGAGGATTTTGAAGAAGTCACCCAGGTCACAGACCACCCGCCCACCCAGCTGATAGCCTCCCCCCAAAGTGCTTAGAAGACTTGAATTAACAAATTGTTTCTGAAGGCCCCGGGCCCAAAATGCAGTGTTTGCTTGTTTGCTTGGGGTCTGACCCTTGGGTGGAACTTGGGGGTGGCCTAGGGGAAAAGGGGCTGAGGGCTCCTCTGGACAGGGTGAGGTCCAAGCTCCCAGAGGGTAGGCAAGACCGATGAATCAGCCTCAGGGGAGCTTTGAATGCCGACATTAGGATTTTAGACCTTGTTTGTAGGCTGCTGGGAGCCAGGAGGAGAGCATTGTGGACAAAGTCAGCAGATTGACAGGAATATTCCTGGGAAGGGCACATCAGTGGTGATCTGTGTGGTCTGCCCTGTTACAGTGTAGGGTAAAAATGTGTTTAAAACGTGTGTCACCTGCACTCAGCACAGTACCTAGAACATGTTAAGTGCTGAATACATGTTTTTGTGTTCCTTCCCTCCTTCATTGGTTCAGTTATCAGGATGGCGCAACAGCCTGATTCCTCTGGGCAGGCTTTGAATGATGACGGGTTAGAGAGGAGATGGGTGGGAGGCTGGAAGACCGGTTAGGGGACTGTGGCAGTAGGCAGGGTGAGGCGAGGACCTGCCCGGAAGTGGCCCTGGGAGTAGGAGCCAGCCCAGATCAGGAGGTTGCCAAGGCAGCCCTGCCACTGCCTAACACCTGCTTGGGTTGGGAGTAAGGGAAGAGTCCGGGACAAGGGAGCCTTCCTGGTCTGAGAGGGGCAGCGAGGACCAAGTCGGGGGGGCCAGCTGAGTCCGCCTGGCTGGAGGCTGAGCCTGGACAATGGCCCCTGCAGGGCAGGGAAGGCGGTCACAGAGAAAGTGTCGGGAAACACCCACATGGAAGTGAGGGAGGATGCTAGGGATCTCTGGCTGGCCAGAGCAGGGATGGAAAGATAGAGGAATGCTGGGGAGGCCAGAGCAGGAAGGCGCAGGGAGGTCAGCAAAGGGGAGGCCACCAGTAATAAGGGGGTGACCTTGGAGCGGACCTGGTATGGCGGCCAGATGACCAGAGCCGGTCATAGGGTGGATGGGGAAGGCAGCAATGCCAAGATTCGGGTCCTCAGTGGTAATAAGGATGTTGGGAAGTTTTGAGGGGAAAGATGCTGAGATCTGCTCCGAAACACTGAGTGCCTGGGAGATGAGGCAATGGGGGCAGGCAGTGGAGATGCCTTTCTGACACCTTTTTCCTGATGCGTACTCTTCCACGCAGTGATGTTGGCCTCCATCTCCCACCTCCGGGCATTGTAGCTGTGCTCCCTACCTGGACCGCTCTCCCTCCTCATTCCTCACCTCCTGGCTTCCCCGGCGTCTCAGTCCCAGCTACAATCCCCGCTCCTACAGGCTGCCTTCCCAGACCCTTTGAATCCCAGGGCCTTCCCTCTGCTCATGATTTCTTCTTCATCCTGGACGGACCTTGCTTCATACAGACTGGTTTGCATCTTGTCTCCCCCCTGAGGCCTGTCACTGTCTTTTGCCTCTTTTTATATCTCCCGAGCTTAGCAAGGTGCCTGGCACACAGTAAGTCCTTAATACACTTTGAGTGGGTGAGTGATTCTCAAAGTCTGGCAGCTAGGGTTAGGGTTAGGGTTAATACATAGAGTGCCAGTCCTAGAGTCTAGAAGACCTGAGTTCAAATCCAGCCTCAGACACTTACTAGCTGTGTGACCTTGGGCAAGCCACTTCACCCTGTTTGCCTCATTTTCCTCATCTGTAAAATGAGCTGGAGAGGGAATTGGCAAACCACTCATGTCTTTGCCCAGAAAACCCCACATGGGGCCACGAAGAATCGGACACAACTGAACAAAATCTGGCTACAGCTTGTAGGCTCTGCCCCATGAGGATTTCAAAGACCCAAGGAGAGGGGGTTTGGTTTGGTTTTCCAGGCCGAGGGAGAATGGTAACCTTTCTCACCTGCAAAAATGGGTCTGGAGAGGCCAGAGGTGCCTGGCCCTTGACGTTGGGTAGTCACCGGCGCTTGCTGGTGGTATGGACCAGACTGAATCACAGCAGAGAATGCTGAACAACACAGAGAGCCAGAACCATCGCGATGCTGGGCGAAGTCTCTGTCCTGCCCCCAGGTCAGCGACGCCTGCTCCTGCTCCAGTTTGGCCCCTCGGAGGCCTCCCTGGACCTGCAGATGGAGGTGGGGAGCAGAAGCAGGTGTGAGTGACATTGGCTGGGGGGGGGACTGGGGTGGTCGCTCTGTGTGGGGGGATGGGGGACGGGCAAGGACTTGCAGGGCTGGGCTCGAGGATGCTCGGCAGGTATACCGGCCTGCACGGTGGCCCCTTCAAGCCCTGGGTACGGCCATAGTCATGCCCTCCTGATGATGCCTCTCTCCAGGGAAGAGGCACCTCCCTGGGTCTCGATCCTGCCGCTTCTCAGGCACCAGGCCGGCTGTGCCCCAGCATCTCCATCTGGCCCCCTCTCCCCTCCCCTCCCAGACAGAAGGGATTGCTGACTCCCAGGCTGTCAGTAAGCGGGCTGGGCCGTCCTTTATTCTGTGGTGGAGGGCAGGAGAGGCGGGGAGCTTTGAGAAGAGCCACTTCCCAGCCCCATCTGGGAGGGTGCTAAGCAGCGCCCTTGACCATTTCCTGACCAGCCTCCCGTCCCCCAGCCCTGGCATCCCTTCCGTGGCCCCTTTCACAGTGTGAGAGAAGGAAGGGCAAGAAAGGAAACAGAATGGGAAAGCCCCTGGGTTTACAGAAGGGTCCCTGAAGCCCAGAGAGCAGAAGGGGCTGGCTGCCTGAGGCCTTCTGGGTGGAGCCGCAGAGTTCAGCTCTCCCACCCCTAAGTTTAACTCCAGCTCAGAGGCTCCTGGCTGTGTGATCCTGGGCAAGTCACTTCATCACTGTCTGCCTCAGTTTCCTCAACTGTAAGAATCCTAATAGCACCTACCCCTCCAGGCTGAGATAATACTGTAGGCAGTTAGCACCATGCCCAGCACACAGCAGGCATTAATAAGAGCTTGTGTCCCTCCCCCAGCCCCCAACTCCTTGCTCAGACCCAGGGCTTGGATGGATGGTATGTTCTGTGCCTGTTCCACCCCATGGTTCTCGGTTCCCCTTGAGGGGACTTTCTGTACACACAGCAGAGGAGAGTTAGGGCAGCCCTCTGGGAGAGCCCTTCCTCACAGTCCCAGCCAGGGAAGGCCATGGATTCCCTGTCCTGTGAGTGTGGCCCTGCCCGGAGGCAGGGGGATGGACAATGTGACTGAAGGAAGAAAGAGACAGAGACAGACGCAGAGGTAGAGAGAGACAGATTGAGTGGAGAGACAGTGGCAGAGAGGGCTCTGCGGAGGCCCCTCAGCAGCCACGGGGCACCAGGGCGGAGGGGACCCCGGAGTCCTGAGCCCCCTGGATGTTGCTCAGGGGAATCGTCAAAGAAGACGTGTGGGCGGATCTGGGCCAGGGTGGGCCCCTTGGGGGCCCCGTCCATGAAGAAGGTCTTGTCGAGGTGCAGCCCCCAGGCCCGCAGGGTGTTCAGAGCCCGGAGACTCATGTCCCCCTCGCTGTGCACTGTCACCAGGTATGTGCGCACCGGGGACTCGTCCTGGCTAAACTTCTCTCGGAGTAGTCCCAGCTGCATGGCGAAGGCTTTCATGGGTCCCTGGGCTCAGAGACAGAGAGACAGAGAGAGACAGAAAAAGAGAGGCAGAGACACAGAAGGACAGAGAGACAGACAGAGACAGAAAAAGAGAGACAGAGACACAGAAGGACAGAGAGACAGAGACAAGAGAGATAGAAAAAGGGATGGTGACAGAGACAGGGAGAGACACAGACAAGATAGGGAAGCAGAGACAGAGAGAGGGACGCTCATCCCCTTGCACACCCGCCACACGGGTCTCTCTGAACAGGGGGAGTGAGAGAGGGGGCTGGGGGGCGGGGGACCTTAGGCCCGCACCTCCCTGGCCTGGCCTCTGCACCTGGAGAGACTTCACTCCACACTTGGGTCAGGGCTGCTACCTACTTCACCAATGGGCACGGCCTCCAGTGCTTTCTCGTGCTGCACGGCCCCCTGCAGCCCGCACTCCTGGAACACGCAGTCTGTCTCATCGGAGAAGAGCACGGCATCGCGGTCAAAGGCCAAGCGAAGCTGGGTGCTGGGGGCCTAGACCTCCTGCCGGAAAAGGAGGGCAGCCGGCACCCCTGGGAAAGCAAAGACGCGGCTAGCACGAGGAGTCCGGCCAGCCTGCAGAGCCCGGGCCTCCCCTCCCTAGGTCGCCGCCCAAAAGGTGCCCTGCTGGAAGTAGAGCCGGAGCTAACAGAACGCTTGAAGGTTTTTAGGGCACTTCACATACGCTGTTCATCGGATCCTCATAACAGCCCGGCAGGGAGTGCTGTGATGATGCCCATTTTACAGAAAAGGAAAGGGAGGCAGGTAGGGTGAAGTGCTTGCCCAGGGTCTCACAGCTAGTAAGCGTCTGAGGCTGGATCTGAACTCAGGCCGTCTGGATTCTAGGCTCAGCACTCTCTGCACTGTGGCGCCCCCTAGCTGCTATCTTAGGGGGGGATCATCTGCCCTCAGATGAGCTCAGATAAGTTAACATATATGAAGGCCTTTGAAAACTGTCGAGTTCTAGCCACGATTATCATTCAGGGTCTTTGTCAGGACGCTGGCTCGGGGCTCTCGGGGCGGGCAGACTCCTGCCCAGCGCTGGCTCTGAGCCCGCCCCCTGCTGCAAGCCGGCCAGATGTGGAAGCTCACCGAGGCCTCATTGACGCCCAGCAGCCATAAGATGGTGCTGTTGGACAGCCCAAGAGCCCGAACCCCTGCGCCGGCCCCAGGGCATCCCCAGCCCACGTCCCGGTTGGGGGCATAGAACTCATCTTCCGCTCCACGCTTACTGGCTGTGGGCGCCGGGACAAGTCTCGACCTCCCTCGCCTCAGTTTCTTCAGCTGTGCTATGGGGATCGTCATTGCCTTCCGATTTCCCCAGCCTCAAGTCCCCGCTAAAACCCCACCTTTTCCTGGAAGCCTTTCCCAACGCACCCTCTGTGACCATCCCCGATCTCTCCCCTGTTGGTAGCGAGGTTCGCACTTGTCTTCCCCAGCAGACTGGGAGCTCCCTGAGGGTGGGGCCCGGCTTTTTCATTCTCTGTGCCCCCAGCCCCTGGCACAGTGTATGGCACATGGTGGGTGCTTAATCAATGCCAGCCGATTGGCTGACTTCCTGTCATCCACCCCCCAGGGTGGCTGCCAGGCGTAAAGGCGATGACCCGTTTAGCGTATACCAACACCAGGAAGTAGCATCGTTATTTCTCTTCCCTTCCTTTCCTCACTCACAAAAGGGGCCCTGAAGGCAGTGTCCACCGACCACAAGCTGGAGTCAGGCCAGTGAGCTCCTGGGTTGGCGGGCAGCCACCGAGGGGAGCCAGTCTCTGGACGGGGCCTTCCTTAGGCGGGGATAGTGACAAAGCCCTGACCAGGGGACCACGTGACTGTCTCTCTAACTGGAAAGGTGTCTTCCTGCTGGCCCTGCCTGTGGCCAGAGAACCACTCCCAGGAGGCAGGAAGATCCAGGTTTGAATCCTGCCTTTCACCCACAGGAGCTCGGTGAGTCTGGGCAGATCACTTCCCCTCTGCCTGCCTCAGTGCTCTCATCTGTACAATGGGCATAATAATGGCACCTCCCCCAGTGCCCTTGGTGAAGTGCTTTGAAACCCAAAAGGTCTAGAAAAGCCCGCTCTTCTCAGTCTTGTTACCATGGCAGCTTGCTAGGAGCCTGTGAGCCATGGGGAAAGACTCTGGGTACCCAGAGTGCCTGGAAGCCAAGGGAAGCCTGGCGGGGGAGGGAACAGAAGCCTGAGCCATTGGGAGCCTTGGGGTGTGAGGCACAGGCTTTCTGGCCTAGCCAGAGCCACAGCGGCTCTCACGCCGACTCTCCATCCTCTCCAGCCTCCTCCTGACTCTGGGCATCTTGATGGCCACTTGTTGGGTCGTCCCTCCATTAGACAGCAGTCTCGTTTAGGGTGGGCACTCTCTTTCTGGTTGTATTTGTATTGGCAGCACTTAATGCTGTGCCTGGCACACAGTAGGTGCTTAATAAATGCTTGTTGCCATGGGGCAAAGGAAAGAGCCCTAGATTTGGGGTCCAAGATCCAGGTTCAAGTCCAGACTCTGTGACCCACTGTTGCTCCACCCTCCCAGCCCCATATCAGTTTCCTCATCTGTAAAATGAAGGTAGTCAAAGAGAGGATCTCTCAAGTTCCTCCAGAGATGGAGGGGACCCTTTGTGTGTGCAGATTTCCCTCCTCTCCTTGGGGAGGCCCCAGAGCTTTGGGGTGGAGCCAGGGATGGAGGGAGGGGCTGGAAGGGGCAGGGGGAGGCTCACCCCTCCTCAGGGCATTGCAGACATCAGTCTTGTCTGCGGACAGAAATAGCCCCACATTGTGGTCTCAGAGGTACTGGGTGGAGTCCTTCTTGCTGACAAAGCAGAATTTGGAGATCTCCAGACCTGGGGGGAGAGGAGGGGTGACTCAGGAGGCTATTTTTGAGGGCAAGTGGGCCCCCACCCAGGCAGGGCAGGGACTTGTCTCCCAGATGACCCTGGTTTAGCCAGCAGGAGGTGGGTGTCTGCTCCTTCTCCAGGGCCTGGGGGTCAAGATGTGACTGACCCCGGGCAAGCCCTCCCTCTCTCCAGGACTCAGTTTCCTTTTCTGTAAAGTAAAGGAGAGGATCATATGGGCCTTCCCAAGGACACTCCATCTATCCTGCAAGTTTTTAATGGTTGGCAAAACTTAGCCCGAAGGCCAGCAGTCTTAACCCGAGTTAGATGCCCTTCCCACCCCTGGCTGCCTCCTATTCTCGCTGAGGGAGCGTGGGAAGGCCGACCTCAGGAGAGAGCAGATCAGTCAACTGACCGCAGAGGGCTTGGGCTGGGCAACCCGGGCTGAGGTGGTCAGGGCCACCCGCCTCTCCAGGGTGCCCCTCAATTCTCTGGCCTCTGCCCCATTTCAGCCTCCAGTGGCCTCCCAGCTTGGGCGCCTGCCGAGGCTGGGGGCTGCCTGGCTCACCCTCCCTCTATCCCAGGTGCAGAGGGTTTGATGGCTTCCCCTGAGTCGCTGAGGAAGGCTGGGGCCTGCGGCACAGCACCTGACCTCTGACTGGTCCAAGTCCCAAGTCCCAGTGGGGGATGGAGGGGCCTCAGTTTCGTCATCTGTAACTTGGGTGTGGTGATACCTGCCCAGGGGCTCCCAGGGCTGCTGTGAGGAAATAGCAGGTGGGGCCCAAGCCTGAGGACACGAGAACATCATTTGGGGGCCGCTGGGCACCAGGGGACAGAAAAAAGAGGAATTGGGGGGAGGGGGAGCTGCCAAGATTTAAGCTGGACGCCAAGAACATTTTCCTAACAATTAGAGCTGTCCGTCAGCATTTCTGGTTTCAACCTTTGCACTGGCAATTCCCCCTGCCTGGAATGCCATCCTTTTCCTCGGCCCCTCAGAGAATTGCCAGCCTCCTTCAGTAAGGACTCACTCAAACACCACTTGGGTGAGAGCCCTTATTCTGCACCTTTCCCTGTGAGGCAAGGGTTGTTCTGGGACCAAGGAACTTAAAACAAATCCTCCTATGTTTCCATGGAGTTGGTTTCCTCGGGATTCCTCTGCCTTTGTCTTAAGGACTTGCAGTATTCTGGGAAGAGTCCTTAGGCTACGCCAGGCCGCCAGCCAGCGGGATCTCCTAGGACATCATAGAAGACTAGTGCACTCTCTCCTCCACTGGAATGTGGGCTCCCCGAGGGCAGAAGCCTGGTGGCTATCCCCAGGACTCAGTCCAGCGCCTGGCCAGTGGTGATTGGCTGAGCTGCAGAGCCCCGCTGGCCCGGGCTGCCCCTTCACCCACCACTGCAAGACGTTAGCAAGGAGGGCTGGAGAGCTCCCAGTGGCCTGGCTTAGGGTAGAGTTTCCTCTTCCCTTACGGCCTAGCTCGGTAGCTGCGGTCCTGTCCACCTCTGAAATGCCGTCATCTGGGGCTTCTGTTCATACCCTGGGGAAGATGCCAATGACCCCTGGACCAGTCTTATTGCTCTATCCTGGGGGCAGGGGTTGCGGGGGCTGAGCCAGCTGGAGGCCAGTGGCAGTCTCTTCACATCACATTCAAGAGCCTGGAGCTCTTGGAGAAGGGTGGGACTGCCCTTGGGGTGGGGTCTGTGCTCAAGCAGAGGAGGGCTTGGGGAGAAGAGAAAGGGCCCTCCTGGTTGGTGCAGACGCCAGGGATGGCTGGGTGGAGCTCAGGGAAGCCTCCTTTCCCTCCTGTGGACTTCCCCCTCACCTGCCTGCCTGGCGCAGTGAACGATTCTGCTGCCAGCCTCTGGGCTGTTGTTGGAGAGGACGATGACGTCCAGGAGGCCTCGCTCCTCTGGATCATGCACCAGCTGCACTGCCTAGGAGGGCAGTGAACAAGGCCCAGTGAGCTCCCCAGCCTCCTCAGCCAGAGCTGCCTGGGGGCGGGGGACTTGTCGATGGGCCAAGGCTGGGGGGCACCTGTCAGGTAGAGTCCTGCTATGCAGCTGCCCACGAGGCCTGGGCTGGGACTTTTGCTCAGCAGGGGCTCTGCCTCCCATGGCCTCCAAAGAGCCGGGCACTTGTGCTCTCAGCCACAGCCCAAGAAGAAGGCAGCTGGGGCATCAGCATGCCCAGGTCCGGGGGAATCAGGATCTGGGTGTGAGGCCAGCCACCTCACCCACTGGTGGTGCGGGAAAGTAGGTGAGGTGAGGCAAGAGCTCACGCTAAGGACCTGGGTCAGTTTGAGCCCCACAACTGAAGCTCCCTGCCTCTAGGACCTCGGGCAGAGCTAGGAACCTGCGTATTTGTGAGCAAGAGTGAACTGGCAGCTCGGTCACCTGGGACCCTGCCCCCCTCTGCCACCACTGCATCTGCTCTGTGGCCTGGAACGCCTTTCCCTTTCTCAAGGGTCTTCCTTAGTTTCCCTGCCTGCACCCCCAGTACAATAAAGGGGACAGAGGAGATCTCCAAGGACTTTCATAGCCCCTTTCTCTCAGACGAGCTGTGAGGGAGGGAGGGAGGGCACACCTGAATTGAAACACTTGGAAAGGCCTTTGTAAATGGGCCCTAAAAGAGACTTCATTATGGTCCCCACCCAGCCCCTTCCCCTCGCTAAGCCCCTGGGCTTAGGGCTCACTACAGCTTGGGGCCAGGAGGGGAGGGAAGACTGAGAGACAGTGCGGGGTGCCTGGGGGAATGTGGCATGGGAAAGGCAGACCTCCCTGGGAAGTGTGGGGGGTGAGGCGGGGTTACGCCCAGGAGATCCCCTGCCTCGGAGATGGAGCTTCTGGCAGGATGACAGGCCCAGGCGGGAGGAGGGGGAGACATTAGGGGCCCCATGGGTGGGGATGGGGGGTGCCTGGCATTCCTCACATCCTTCACAGCAGGGTGTTGGCCCCGGGGGTCAGCCGGGGATCCCAAAGGCAGCTGCTTGTGAGTCAACCTCGCCTGTGTCAAGTGAAGAAGGGGCCTCCCCAGAGGCCTTGAGCGCCAAGGAAAGATCATCACCCGGATGAAGGGGAGGGCTGTGCCCAGGGGCAGCGGCTCCTTGGCTGGAGCTGTCTGGTGCTTGATGCACTCCTCAGCACCGTGGGCCAGAAGCAGCCTCCAGGTTGAAGACGGCTCTGGCAGTGACCGCAAGGACCAATGCTTCCCTTGGGTCCTTCTGTGGGGGCCAAGAGGCAGCAACCCCCCAGGGTCTCCTGAGGGCCTGGCTACTGCCCGGCCACTGGGCCCACAGGCCCATCTCAGCCCAGGGCTTTCCAAAGAGCTGGGCCCCTTCTCTCTTCCCATTGTGGGTTCTCTAAAGGCTGTCATGCCTCACACACTAACGATGTCCCCAGGGTGATATCTTCCCCTAAGACTACGGGGTCCCCCACAGACTGGGGGCTCACTGAGGCCAGGGCTGGGCCTCCCCTTCAGAAGGGGGCTTCCTGAGGCCAGGGCTACCTCAGGACTGAGTTGGCGTTCCCTTCTTCTTCCCCTTTCGTTGCTCAGCCCAGGTCCAGCTGGTCTGCCACAGGGCATCTGGGTAATAGATGCTAATTAACTGACTGACTAAATTCTCCATCTCTGCCCCGGCTGGGACTAACACTGAGCCTCTTGCACTGGCAGGGGAGTCCTGGATCTGGGCTTCTTCACAGGGCATGTATGAAATGGGTTCTTGGTTTTAATAGAATGGATTTCCCCCGCAGTGCCAGTGACTTTGTTTTAAGTGTTTTGAGAAGGGTTCCTGAGGCTTCACCAGTCCGGCCTGCCCCAGGGTCTCCCTGGTCCTCCCTGATCTTTGGGAACCTCCTCCCCTTGTCTTCCTCCAGGGAGCCCTGGACAACGTCAGGGTTCAGGATGACCGCCCCCGACTGTGCCATGGTCCCTTGAGCCCTGCTACTGAGGCAGACAGGGAGTCACCAAGGTATGCGCCTGGGGCGGGTCTCTCCTTCCCAGGGCTCCTGCCAACACACATGACCAGACTGCTATTACACTCAAGCGCGAGCACCCACACTATACATTCACACCTCCCCCTCACACGTACTTAACGTTCTCTCATACACACACACAAACACACACAGTCACACACTCATACACTCCCCCTCACACATATTCTCACACACAAAAACATGCATGCTCCAGGCTCCCAGTCACACATACTTACATTCTCTCATGCACACACACACACAATCACACACTCCTACTCACCCATATACACACACATACACATACTCACAATACCAATACACACACACTCCCACTCCCACATACTTACATATTCTCTGTCACACACATCCTCTCACCCACACCCACACTCTGCACACACACACAGAATACATACTCACACATGTTTATATTCTCTCATGCATTCATACACATGCACACTCTCACATACACACACTCACAGTACATACTCACATACTCCCACTCACACATACTTACATTCTCTCACACATTCACACACATGCACACACACACACACATATTCTCACACACACACTCTCACATACCTTCACAATACATACTTTCACTCACACATACATTTTCTCACTCACACTCTGTGTGCGCGCACACACACACACACACACACGTGCACACACACACACTCTTCCAGGCCTGAGAAGGCCCCAGACCAGGGCTCTGAATGCAGGGTGGTGAGGGGGCCAGCCTGTGCTAGGCAAGATGGGTCAGAGGTAGGGGAGGCTAGGGGCTTGGGGCTTCCTAACTGGGCTCAGGGAGAGAAGAAAGCTGTGGGTCCAGCCTGGGGCAGAGCTTTTCTTCTGCAGGCCCCCACCCAACAGGCCGCTGGAAATAGCTCTGTCCTGGGCTGGATTTTGGAGCCCAGAAGAGCCAGGTTCAACCTTCACCTCCAACGTTTACTAGCCATGAGAACCCCTGAGCAAGTCTGTTAAAGGCTGGGCCTCAGTTTCCCTCATCTGTAAAGTGGGGCTGACAACAACCTCTCACATAGGAGATGTGGCATCTGTCAAATGCTTAGCAAACCCTGAAGGATTTCCTCTGGGGCAGCATTCTTCCGGGAAGGGAGCAGCTTAGAGCTTCAGAGATCACTTGGTTTGTGAGCTCAGGAGGAGGAGGAGGCCCCAGGGTAAAGTGCCCCCCACCCTGGTAAGCGTAGACCTGGAACCCACATCCTCTGCAGCCATGGGCCCATCGGACCCTAAAGTGAAAGTGAATCCCAAGCCTTCACCTCATCTGTCCCTCAAACTCAGCCCTGGTGGTCAGCCCCACCCAAAGGGAGTCCTTTGTTTTTTGTGACCCAGGCCCCCACCCAGGGCTTATGGTGGCCCCTTTCTCCATCCCCCACATCCCTGGCCAGACATGTCCTAGCACCCTGACATGGGGCCCCCTGAACCTGCTCTCACTGGGCCCAGGGCAACAGGGTTTCCTGCAGGGTGGGCTGGCCTGGGGACTGGGGAAGAGGGGGAAGAGGCTCTAGAGGACCCGTGCCTGGGGGACTCACCGGGCCATGGGCTGGGGCTCCCTCCTACCACCAGCCAGCCGGATCAGAAAGATGCCCCTCCCACGCCTGGCTTCCAGGAAGCGGTTGGCGGATGGGGCGGCTGGAGGCGTGGGGGGGGCAGTCCCTGTCCCTCCCCAGGCACGCATGCTCCCCCCACACTGAGCTGGCATTCTGGGACTCGTAGTCGGCACCTGGCCCGCCTGCTGCGGTTGGGACTGGACAGACAGGCTTGGGGGGCCTTGGGCTGGGACTGGAGCTGGGCCTGGTGCCTAATTACTGCTCTGGGCTTGGCCCCCCCGAGCTCATGAAAAGGTGGCTTTGAGTGCAGGGCCCCGCAGCCCAGACACCCCCCCTACCCCTTCCTGCCCCCACCCACCCTCTGCACCACGGGCCCCCCAGTCTGCTGCAGGCGGCTTCCCTAGGCAGTTATACCGGGGTTTGCTTTGGCCGGGGCCCAAGCCCAGGAATGTGCCTGCTGGCTGAGGGGGGCTTGTCTCCAGGATGCAGGCGAGATGGATGGGGTATGGGCTGTCCCAGAGCCAGATGGATGGGGGGCAAAGGCTGGCCCACTGACAGCTGGATGGATGGACAGACAGACCCAGGCTCCAGAGCTTCTCAGAAGGAGACAGATGCTCAGCCCAGTCTGGCTCAGGAGTAGACAGACAGACAGACAAAGGGGCTCCAGTCTCTCCCAGGGACAGACAGACTGATGGACAAATGGACTGCTTCCAGGTACAGATAGCTAAACAAACAAACGGGAGGTCAGTCTGTCTCCGGAGCAGACAGATGAGAAATGGGTCTAGTCTCTCTCCGAGTCCAACTGGATGGACAAAGAGACAGGAAGAGAAAGATGGCCAGGGGGAGTAGAGTTTTTCCAAGGGCAGATGGATGGACAGACAGATGGGAGGCAGTTTCTTTCAGGTACAAACAGACAGATGGACAAAAGTGGTATTTTCAGGGACAGATGGGCCGACAGACAGAGGGGAGGCCAGTCTATCTCAGGAACAGATAGGTGGGCAGATGGGCTCTGGCCTGTCTCGTGGCCTGACTGGATGGACAGAGACAGAAGTCCAATCTACAGCCAAAGTAGAAAAATGGACAGAGGAAGGCCAGTTTTTCTCAGGGACAGGCGGATGGACAGACAGACGGGAGGCCAGTCTGTCACAGGAACAATCAAATGGATGGTGGGGCCCACGCTCTCCCAAGGACAGATAGGTGGAGAGATGGGGTCCAGCCTGTCCCAGGGACAGATGAGTGAGCAGACAAGGGCACTGGCTGTCCCAAGGACGCAGATGACTGGAACAGAGAGACAGATGGGGGTTCAGATTGTGCCAATGACTGACAGATGGACAGACAAGGGTCTGGTCAGTCCCAGGATAGATGGCGAGGTGGGGACTGGGGAGCAGCTGGGGGGTTACAGTCCACCCCAGTGTCTCCCTAGAAGACTGCTTCCTTGTCCTTTGGCCCAAGGGTTCCCATCCAGCCCCCACTTGGCCCACACACAGAGAGCCTTGGATGGACCAGCCCCCCAGCTCAGAAGACCCTGCCAGGTCCAGCCAGCGCCTCTCCACCCTCTCGGGACCCCGGGGGCAGGGCCTTGGCTCCCAAGCCTGACTGGCTTTCTCTTTCCTCCCTCAAGCCTCAGACTGTGCCTCCCCAGACAAGCATATGTCTGCCACGGAGCGTCACACCGACCCAGCTGTGCATCTCCTTCTGCTATGGTCACACGTCTCACAGGGCCATGTCTGGCCACGCAATCACGTATCTCCTCCCTCCACACCCAGTGTCACTTGGAGGTCACTCCACAGGCCTAGCAGCCAGAGCCCAGTGGAGGGGGCTCCCTTTGGTGACTGATCCCCTACCCAAATCACACAAACATGGAGGACTCCCCAAAGAGATTATATGCACACACACACATGCTGCCATATGTGTACATGCATGTGGATACACACACCTGAGCATGTGCATTCCCTGCCTCCCAACAGAAAATCGGATTGTCAATGTCACCTGTAGCCCAAAAACCTAGGACCCCCTTGGACAGAGGTGCTCTCCCTGGGATCAGGAGTCCCCATGGGGCAGCAGTTCTGGAGGATGCGGCTGCAGGGCAGTGAAGGGAAGGGGGCAGCCCAGGGTCCAGGCTGGAAGCAGAGAGTGGCAAGGATGATGACCCAGGCCAGAAATCTGGAGGAAGGAGAAGAATCAGCTCAGTTTGGATTACCCACTGAGGCCAGGCAGGAAAGCCTCCTGCCTCCCAGGGCTGGGAGACACTGGCCTCATTCTGGGCATCACGGATGGGCCTGGGGCAGTCTCCTTGCCAGAGTCTCTGCTCTGCTTAGGCCCGTTGGGAAGGATGAGGAAAATTTAGCTTGATGTCAGGAAACATTTCCTAACAATGAAAGCCGATCCGATGCGGGAGGGCCTGGTGGGGAGGGCAGGGAGGTCTGGGCAGGTAGTGAGCTCCCTGTCCATGGGGGCCTTGGAGGAGTGTTCAGGCTCTGACTTGCCAAGAATGTCTTGGTTCAGGTCTGGGCTGGCCAGACAGCCTTGGCCATGCCTTTCACCTCAGAGACTTTGTGATTCTGAGGAAGGCAGGACCATGGCCTGAGCCAAGCTTGCTTGCAGGTCGCCCTAAAAGGACAGTTCCTTCTGTCTGAGGAGTCTATGATGCCCACTGGGAGACTGAAGAGGGTGGGTCCCTCTGCCCAGCCACAGTCCCACCTTCCTACAGGAACAAGAGGAACCCAACTTACCCAAGACACAGTAGTCAATGACTGCAGTAATCCACCATTTGATAAACCCAAAGCCCCAACTTCTGGGGTAAGGACTCACTTTTGGACAAAAACTGCTGGAAAGACTGAAAAAGAGTATGGCAGAAACCAGGCATAGATCAACATCTCACACCATGTACCAAGAGAAGGTCAAAATGGGTTCATGATATGGATATAAAGGATGAAACTATAAGCAAACTGGGAGAGCAAGAAATGGTTTACCCATCAGATCTAAGGAGAAGAGAAGAATCTATGTCCAAACAAGAGGTAGAGGACATTACGAAATGCAAAATGGATGACTGTGATGACATTAAATTGAAAAGTTTTTGCACAAACAAAGCCAATGCAAGCAAGATTAGAAAGGAAGCGGAAAGCTGGGAAAGAATTTTTACAGCCAGTGTCTCTGATAAGGGCCTCATTTCTAAAATACAGAAAACTGAGTCGAATTTGTAAGAATACAATTTATTCCCCAACTGATAAATGGTCAAAGGACATGAACAGGCAGTTTTCAGATGGAGAAATTAAAGCTATCTATAAGTGTATGAAAAAATGCTCTAAATCATTACTGATTAGAGAAATGCAAAGCAAAACAGCTGTGAGTACCACCTCACACCTATCAGATTGGCCAACATGACAAAACGGAAAAATCATGAATTCTGGAGAAGATGTGGGAAAATTGGAACACTAATTCATTGTTGGTTGAGTTGCAAACTGATCCAACCATTCTGGAGAGCAATTTGGAGCTATGCTATAAAAATGTGCATACCCTTTGACCCAGCAATAGCACTTCTAGGACTATATCCCAAGGAGATCATAAGAATGGGAAAAGGACCCTCATGTACAAAAATATTCATAGCAGCTCTTTCTGTGGTGGCAAAGAATTGGAAATTGAGGGGATGCCCATCCATTGGGAAATGGCTGAAGAAGTTGTGGTAGATGAATGTAATGGAACACTATTGTGCTATAAGAAGTGATGAGGGGGAAGCGAGGTGGCACAGTGGATACAGCACCAGCCCTGAAGTCAGGAGGACCTGAGTTCAAATTCGACCTCAGATCAGATACTTGACACTTACTAGCTGTTTGCCCCTGGGCAAGCCACTTAACCACAATTGCTAGAAAGAAAGAAAGAAAGAAGAAAGAAAGAAAGAAAGAAAGAAGAAAGAAAGAAAGAAAGAAAGAAAGAAAGAAAGAAAGAAAGAAAGAAAGAAAGAAAGAAAGAAAGAAAGAAAGAAAGAAAGAAAGAAAGAAAGAAAGAAAGAAATGAGCAGGTGAACTTCAGAAAAACCTGGAAAGACTTGTATGGTCTGATGCTGAGTGAAGCGAGCAGAACCAGGAGAATGTTGTACACAGTAACAACCGCATTGTGCGATGACTAACTTTGTTAGACTTAGCCCTTCTCAGAAATGCAAGGATCTAAGACATCTCCAGAGGCCTCACGATGGAAAATGCTGTCCACATCCAAAGAAAGAACTATGAAGTCTGAATGCAGATCAAAGCAGACTATTTTCACTTTTTGATTTTTTTTTCTTTCTCGTGATTTTCCCCTTTTGTTCTGATTCTTCTTTCACAACATGACTGATGTGGAAATATGTCTAATATGATTGTACACGTACAGCCTATATCAGATAGCACAACGTCTTGGGGAGGGGAGGGAGGGAGAAAAAAATTTGGAGCTCAAAATCTTATAAAAATGAATGTTGAACACTATCTTTACATGTAATTGGAAAAAATAAAATACTGCTAAGTGTAAAAAAATAAAAGGAAAAGTTAATGGGTCTCTAAGAGAGTAACACCATATTTTTTATAGGTGGAAAAAAAAGGAACCTAACTGCTCCCCACGTTGTGCCCAGGCTTCGGGGTCCATTGCTAGAAACTTGAAGCAAAGATGTTCAGAAATGTCCTCTGTCCTTCCCACCTCTGTTCTCTGGGCCTGGGAAGGGACCCCAGAACCCTCCCCCATGGGTCCCTGGCAGGGCCTGCTCCCAGGCCAAGGCATTCCCCAGCTCCCAGGGGTTCAGGACTTCCGGGGCCTTGAGGTGGGGCTCCTCCAAGTCCTTCCCCATCCCCCCACCTCGACTGCAGAGAAGAATTTCCAGTCCAGCAGGAAGCCGGAAAAAGGGCAGTGTGGGTGTGAGCCCCCAGCCATGCGGCCCTGCAGGTCAGCCCAGGAGAGGAAGGGACCAGTGACTCCCTCCTGAGCCTGCCTCCCACTGCCCAAGGGGCCACAGGTAAGCAGCACCCTTGGGCCCTGGGCCCTTCCCTCCCACCCCCTTCTTCCTGCTCCTGAGCCCCTTGGGAGGTGCCCTTCAAGGCCTTCTTCAGCTGCACCAAGGACTCTGGACTGACCAGGTAGGAGAGAGAATGAACCGGGCTGAGCCTGTCAAGCGAACTTGACCCTGGGTTCTACTCAGAAGTACAGATCTACAGAGATGGGAGAAGGAGGAGATGCCTTGGACACGGGGGCTCCCTGTCTAGAGGTGGGGAGGAGGCCCGGAGCTAAGATTCATAGAACAGAGAGGATTGCATATGGCCAGGGGCGGCAGGGCTGGAGCAGAGGGGGACATCCTGGTGCTAGGTGAGGGCATAGGTGTGGAGGCAGGATTGAGCCAGGGTTAGCTCCCAGGAGTTCTGTGTGAATGTCGATAAGAAGCCAGGGTGTAGGGATGGGGAGTGAGGAGTGGAAGAGTTTCCCATGGCTTTGAAAATCACTCCAAACTCTAGGTCTTGATGAATGCTAGGAAGGCCAGGCCCCGCTGGCCAGGGGGGCTGGGGCTCAGGTTCTGGCTGCCCACACCCTTCCAGGCCTCCACGGACCCTGGCCAGGTGTCCCCTAGTCCAGCAGAGGTGAGCAGGAATGCTGGCTGGGTGGGCCAGGGCTGCCCTCATCAGCCAGGAGCCTCCCACCCAGCAAACACTTAGTGATGGGATGCTGATAACCGAGGAGACCATGGCCCAGTCTGGCTCCCTTCAGGGAGGTCCAGGGAGGTGGGCGCAGGGAGCGTGGTGCTCCAATGGCCCAGGCCTCCTGGCTTCCAGCCCTAGGGACCTTCTCTCCTCGTGTCCTGCTCAGCCTGGCCAGGGGGGCTTTCTCCTGCCTGGCGGGCTTGGTGGCATCTGCTTCCCATGCCCCCACACACGTGCCCTGGGCTAAGCAGACTGGGCAGGGTGCGGCGCCTGACTCAGCTGTGAGGAACGCCCCCCAAGGTCCTTCCAGCTCCAGGACAGCCGACTCCTGCCACGCTGGCTGCCCCTCCCCCCCTTCCTGCTGCCCTCCCCCCGCCCCCTGCTGTCCCCCTCCCCCTGCTGTCCCCCCTCCCCACTTTCTGCTGCCCCTTGGCCAAAACTCTTGGCTTCAGGGGGTCACCGCCTGACTGCGGGGAAGGGTCTGAGCCCAGGACTGCCCTTGCTCAGGAGCACGAGCTGGGGGACCGTCCCAAAGGGACAGGAGCTGGGAAGCCGGCCCCTCTGGTCTTACTCGTCAGATCCCTTTCCTTTCCCCCTACAACCCAACTTCCCTGTTTGGTCACTTAGCCTCTTCCCCCCAACAAGGGATCTATCATGTGCCAAGCACTGTCCTAGGCACTGGGGATGCTGCGGTCCCTTCCAAGTCTCCAGGTCCATGAGTCTGGTGGGAATGAAGTTCAGAGCAGGGAATATAGCAGCTGTGTTTGGAGGACAGAAAACACAGGCTAGTGGCTGCCCTCAGAAAGCTTATCCTCTAGTCAATGACCCGAGGAATGTGTGACTTGCTGAAGACATCAGCCATTGGAAGCCACGTGGAGAAGGGGACAAATGACGGGGAGATCAGGAAAGGCTGCATGTGTACAGGCAGTGCTACCTGAGCTGAGGCTTGAAGGGACCTAGGGGTCCCCCAAGTTAGAGGGGAAGGAAAGAGAGAATTCCAGTGGGGGAGGGAGGGGTACCACGCACAGCCTGTGCAAAGGCGTGGCGGTGGGAAGTGCCCTGTCCTGTTTAGGGAGTCTGTTCCTTCTCTCTGCCTTTTTCCTTCATGCCTCAAGTCCCTAGGAAGCCTTTCTGGGTATTTCCTACATGTTCAGGTGTATTTAAGAGGGGAGGAGTAACTGTACCCTACGGTGTCCTCCATCTCCACCCCCTCTCTGTCCTGGCAGGTACGGTGACCAAGGGCCTGGCCAGTAGGAACAGCTGTGTTAATTGATTTCTGAATCTAGTCCCTGCAGCCCCTAGAGTTCTTAATTCATCAGGACTGCCCATCTCTGCTCCAAGGACTCCGTGGGGTAGCCAGCCCCCGCTGACCAGTCCCCAGGGAACACTGGCCATGTGGTGGGTGGGCCAGGGAAGCGCCCGTGACTACTCCCCAGGCTGATGGGGCAATGTTTCCTCCAGGGTCCCAAGGAACATGACTACGGTAGATCAGACAAGTCAAGGCCTCTCCTCTGCCCCATCCCCTGTGCAAACCCAAGGCACACCAGGATTCATCCAGGATGTCTGGGACAAGATTCCCTGTGAGTCCTTGGGCTGGTGCTGGGCAAGAGTGGGGCAGGACCCTTTAGAAAGTTACCCTGGAAGCTACTTAGGAGCAGGGCAACCTTGCCCAAGTCTCTGCCACTTTCTGAACCTCAGTTTCCCTATCTCTAAGATGAGTGGCCTGGGCGAGGTGGGTCCCCTGGTGGTCCTGAGTGTGGGTGGAGCTGGCCATGGGGGCCGGGAGCCCAGAGCCAGCCACTCCCCCCAGCTCTCTGCCACCCGCCCTGCAGTACCTCCGTGGCTACTCATCACCATCCTTGTGGGAGCTGCCCTGCTGCTGGCCTCCTGTCTGCTCTGCATTGTCTGCTGCCGCTGCCGCCAGAGGAGAAGGAAGAAAGGGGTAAAGAATGAGACCGTGGGCCTGGGCAGGGCCTCAAACTCCACCAGTGCCCACCTGGTGAGTGCCCACAGAGAGACCAACCAGCCCGGCATTGGGGAGGGAGGACGGGGAAGGGCAAGACAGTCCACAAGATGGGCTGAGGACAGTTGGCTCAGGGGATCTCTAGTGAGCTGGGATGGTCAAAAAAGGAGATCATTGCCCCCATTTTACAGAGGAGGAAACTGAGGGCCAGAGAGTGCAGTCTGTGACTAAACAGAGTCAGGGTCACCCTGGTGCCGAAGACAGGACTCAGATCTGCACTGGCTTCCACAGTGCCTTGAAGGATGGCTTGGCTCTGGATAGCGAATAAATGTAGATAGGAAGAGAGGGGGGCAAGGAAGGATAGGAGGAGACTCACAAGCTGGAGTGTCTGAAGGGGGCCCTGAGTGGGAAGGGCCTCGAGCCCCTGCCTCATGAGGGAAGACTTGGGGAGATCCTGTGGCTGTCTCCAGGTTCTGCTGGGCCACCTTGGGCTAAACCAGGATGATTGAAGGAAGAAGCAAAGGGCTCACAGAGCTCTCCTGGTGTGGAAGGGGCTGCCTCAGGAGGTGGTGGGTGGCCCCACAGGCTCATGACAGCTGTGGCTAGCCTGGGGCCCCTCTCAGCTTTCCCATCCTGTGATTCTGGTGGGAAGGACGGAGGGACATGGGAGTCTGGAGGATAGTGAAGGGACAGGCTGCGCTGGGAGGGGCGGGGATGTCGGGCTAGGAGCCTTGAGTGCCAGACTCACACCATCTCAGTACCCAAAGGCTGCCCTGTAGAACCCAGCCCAGAACCAGAACAAGGGGACTGGGACTTGTGTGACCGTGGCAAAGACAGTGAAGATGCCCAACCTGCACGGTGTCTCCCACATGGCTCCCAGTCACTTGGGGAACGTGTTCTTCCCTCACGTCTTGAAGATGTTGGGAGGAGGCTGATGTCTAGAGGAGTGGACAGCAGTCAGGAAGACCTGAGTCCTAATCCTGCCTCAGACACTGGCTAGGGGACCCTGGACAAGTCACCTGCCCTCTCAGCCTGTTTTCTCCTCTGTAAAGGGGATGATCACAGCACCTCCCTCCCTTGGTGACGTGCACTGTACCCACATGGGCTCTAGAGATGCTGCTTGTTATGCGGGCAGGGGGAGAAGACCTCTCAGCCTGGCCCTTAGATGGGGTCAAGGCTCTGGAGCAAGGGGAGAAGCATTGCCCCACCCCACCCCCCAGCAGAGGCCCCAGAGCAGCCTCTCTGCCCTAGACAGCACCCTCCTAGCCCATCCCACACTCTCTCCTTGGCCTCTCCTTGGAGGATCGATGGGGGAAGGGCAGGTGTGGGGGCTGTCCTCGTGGCTTCTGTCCACACAGGTGCAGCCCGATGTAGATGACATGGAGCTGGGGCTGGAGGACCCGAAGAGGGGCCGGCTGCAGGTGTCCCTGGAGTACAACTTCCAGAGTCAGGAGGTAGGCGAGGCTGGCCCTTCCTCAAGCATCTCAGGGGGAATCCAAGATGATTATTCTCATTGAAGAAAGGGGTGAGCTATGGCCCAGAGAAGGCCAGTGACCTTGCTCCGATGCCTATCAAGGCTGGGCTGGGGGAGGACGGAGTGGGGAGGGGAGACCTGGAGGAAGAGCATAGAAGGGTCTGGGCAGAGGTGGGAGGCTGCCCTTCCCCTGAGGGCCCTCCGCATCCCCCCAGCTGAAGGTGGGCCTGAAGCAGGCAGCAGATCTGAAGGCCCCAAAAGCCTCTGGCGTGTCTGACCCCTACGCCAGGATCTACCTGACCTCAGACCCCCAGAAGATTCACGAGACCAAAGTGCACCGGCAGACGCTGAGCCCAGTTTTCAATGAGAGCTGCGCCTTCCAGGTGGGGCTTCAGAGAGGGGAGCCTGGACCAGGCTGGGCTGGGGGATACCAGAGCCAGGGAGGCTAGTGCCAAGGCTCTCCTTCCCCCCCCCCCAGGTGTCCCAAGCAGAGCTGCCAGAGGCCATACTGGTGATCCAGGTCCTGGACTTTCACCGCTTCTCCCCCCACGCCCCTGTGGGGGAGCTTCTACTTCCCCTGGACACAAGTGACCTTCACCACGTCCTGGAGCAGTGGTATGAGCTGGGGCCACCAGGCCGGGCCCAGGTAAGGCATCAGCCCCTGTTCCAATGGCCCCCTGCCCCTCCTAAGGGAGGCTGACACACTTCACAGAGTGTCAGAGCTGGGGAGCAGGGGCAGGGCACTGGTGGTCTTCTCATTCAGTCCCTGGCTGCTCCCAAAGCTGGGAAGTTACCTCTCCAAGGTCTCGGAGCTTGGCAGGTACAGGTGGAGCTGAGGGCCTGCTCCAGGGACCCCTGGTTCCAATGCCCTGTCCTTGGGAAAAGCCAGAAACGAAAACCAGCAGCCATCTGCTAGGCACATACTGTGTGAGGCTCGGCCCGGCCTGGGCATGGGGGATTCAGAGGCCCAGACCACACAGTTAGGTCCTCACAGAGCCCTTGGAGAGGCCTTCAGGGAGGCAGTGGTGACCGAGAGCAGCCTGGAAGGGAAAGGTCTGGGAGACAAGAGGGGCGTCCCAGGAGGGAGATGAATTCTGCATTTGGGGGGCCATGAGCAGACCCATAGTGCTCGAGTATAGGTGGGGGGAGCAGCTCCCTCAAGGTCGTCCACAACGGGGGAGCTGCTGGAAAAGGAGAGGTCAGACAGGGACGGGGAGAGCAGAGGAGGATGATTCCTCAAGGCCCAGAGAGGAGAGGCACCCACGGCAGGGTCACCAGGGTCGGAAAAGGCCGCAGGATTGGAGGCCCTGTCATCTTGGTAGTGGAGACAGGCAGTGGTGTAGATATCTTTTTCTGGGGGTTTGGCCTTGGAAAAGAGGAATGGCGTAGGGTGGCAGCAGAGAGGCAGGAGGGTCAGTGAGCGCTTCGTAGGGCATCACAGGGAGGAGACAAAAACTACCGCCTGCTTCCGCCCATTTCACAGAATGGGAAAATAGAGGTTCCCAGAGCCTCCATCACATCCAGGAGGGCAGGAGGGCCACGAGAAGCCTGGGCGTGCAGCCGTGTTGACTCTGCTTTCTGTCCCACTCGCAGCAGGAGCAGATGGGGGAGCTGTGCGTCTCTCTCCGCTATGTCCCCAGCACAGGGAGGCTGACGGTGGTGGTGCTGGAGGCTCGAGACCTGCGGCAGGGGCTGGCAGGTGGGGGACCCCGGCTGGGTTTGGGGAGGAGGGCCCCAAGGAAGGGGGCTACAGAGCAGAGATCAGCACCTTCTCCTCCTCCCCAGGCTCCTATGTGAAGGTTCAGCTCCTCCTGAACCGGAAAAAGTGGAAGAAGAGGAAGACGAGTGTGAAGAGAAATACATCCAGCCCCTACTTCAACGAAGCCTTCACCTTTCCCGTGCCTTTCAGCCAGATCCAGGTGGGCTTCCAGGCAGAGGTGGTGTGGAGGCGTGGGGGCCCCGGGGCTCCCAAGGGAAGGACTAATCCTGTGTCTTGTTTGCTCCCTCCACTTCCCGCCTAGAATGTGGACCTGCTGGTGTCCGTCTGGGGCCACGGCCGCGTGTCGAGGGGGAAGCCCTTGGGGAAGCTCCTCCTGGGCTGCCGAGCCACCGGCCACCAGCTGCATCACTGGTCGGACATGCTGGCCCACGCCCGGCGGCCCACAGCCCAGTGGCACAGGCTGCAGTGTTCTGAGGAGGTGGACGAGGCACTCCAGCTAAAGAAGGGCCTGAGGCTCCCTCTGCCCGGCTCCTAGGAGAAGCCCCCTGGGCAGCAGGCACGGAGAGGCAGCTCTGGGGACCTCAGTCTTTCTAAGCTGGAAAATAGGTAGAATGGGTCTTTTCCTTACACCACTCCCTCACCATGGAGGCCGTCCCACAATAAACAGGAAGCAATCAGGCAGTGCCGACCCTCGTCCAGTTCCTGGGTGGCGGCGTTGTTCTGGCTCTGGGTTCCCCCCACAGCTTGGCCAAGGCTGGGGTAGACGGGAGCCTTCCCCAGTCCCGGGTCTTTGCAGGGCCCAGTCCTGGGGAGCCCCAGCCTTGGGGAGAGGCTGCGGGGCTGCGAGCGGTTCACTGATGCAGCAAGGAGCCCGGCCAGGAGATGGCGGTGGAAAGCCTAAGACAGGTGGGACTGCCTCCTTCCTGGTCACCTTCCCCAGGTCAGACGCCCCCCTTCCCTTCCCCTGCTCCGCTACCTCTAACCCTGAGGACACGTGGGGACGATACCGGGCACATCAGCCATCGTCAGGGCAGCATTTCTTCTGCTCATTCCTGTACTGGACACGAGGGGGCGACAGAGAGCCAAGGAAAGCTGCTTCTTTATTGCTCCGAGTCAGCAGAGCCTCACACGATCCCCAGGTGAAAAGAGGCTTTGTAGGCCAAGGACACCAGTCTGATGGGGGGCGGGGCAGGGCCAATGTGGTCTCACAAGCTTGGAATGCCAGAGCTGGGAGGGATCTCTGCAGCCTCCTTCCCAGTGCAATTGCGCCCTCTGAAGCCTTCGTGAAGCGAGGGTACCTCCTGCCTTCTTGAATGCCTCCAGTGATGGGGAGCTCACTGCCTATACCTTCCCAGGCAGTCTACTCCGGTCCCAAACAGTTGGGATCCTTGGGAAGACACAATCTGCCTTCCTGAAGTTTCTACTCGTGGCTTCTAAGTGGCCTGGCAGCAGAGCTCAGCTCCTTCCCTTCCTCTGGCACCCACCCGGTATTTCAGTGCACCCATGTGTGACAGGTCCCTTCTCCTTTGAGGCCTGTTTCCTGGCAGCAAAGAGAAACAATTGGAGTGGTTGATCTCCAAGTTCTCTTCTTCTCCAGCCTCTTCTCACCTGTGATAAAGTCAGCCCTTGGGCCACAGTCCAGCTGTTCCTCCCACGCATCCACACTCCTCATGGCTGTTACTGCCCCAGAGTTTCTGTTCTGGGGGCTGTCTTACAGGGGAATGTCTGTCCCAGCATTCCTTCGATGTGGACCCAAAGAGGGCACAGCCAGGGGGGTGTTGAGAAATGTTTAACAACTGGCTCTCCCTCCCAAAAAAGAGCACAACGAAGCAGTTCAGTTTAATCTATGTCATTACCATTTTCTCCATCACTTTTTGAAGTCTGGGCAATCAGGAAAACAACTAATCAAGTCCTGATCTGCTGCCTTGGCCATTTCCCAAGGCAAAAAAATTAAACAACCAGCTCTCCAGCACCAGTTCGAGCTGATTCTAGTACCTGCAGGATGCTGTCCTCCTTCCACTCCAGCTGTCCTGGGTCCAAGAATCCGGCAGCAGCTACTTCCCCCCCCCCCGACTCCCGGCCTTCTAGACTTTGTCAATATTCTCAGGACGCTGGCTGGTCCCAGGTCAGCCTCAGAAGCCACAGACACATATGTCAAGGCTCTTCTGTTGGCCAAAGTTTCCCATCTGCCTTTCAGCCAAGCCACCCCGTGGCCCTAAGAGGGCAACAAGTCAGGCAGGGACTCTGATGGAGAAACTGAGGCAGAGAGTGGGCAGGGGTTTGTCTAAGGTCACACAGATTGTAAGCTCCAAGGCTACTGGGCTTTTGACCAGAGACATTAATTCACAAGCCCCTTCTGCCCTGTGCATTTGGGGTTTTTTTTAATGTTTTACTGATGCTGTTTTCTTGGTTTATCCCCCCTTTCCTTTGGAAGATTAGAGAAGGGGACAAGATAAGGAAGATTAGAAGGGGATAGGTCCTAATTTCCCTGCTGGCTAAACAGGGGAGATAGGAAAAAGGGTTTCCAAGCTCCATTCTAATGCAGACATTATGAACTACCCAGCCTGAAGTTCCCTTATTGACCAGGAGGTGGTAGCAGATGAACGCTCCCTAAATACCTGCGCTCTACTGGTAGCTGGCAGTGAGTGGGAGGAGGAGATTGGAGCTGAGTGTCCACACTGTGGCATACTGGATGAGGTGGTGACTGCTCATACGGTACAAATGCTGCAGGCCAGAATTCCCTTTCAAGACTTTATGAACCCTCTCCCAGCTAGGCTGGGGCCCCAGCAGCCCAGAATAGGAGGCATCAAAGTCACCCCAGGGACTCCCCTCGGTGTGAAGGGGTACTGCTTTGTCAGGGCAATGGGAGGGCTCCTTTCCCCTCCCACCACCAAGACCTGAAATGCATCAAAGCTCTGGTTAAGCATTGGCTGTCCCAGGATCCTCTTCAGCTGCCCAGCTGCCCCCAGAGTAGGCAGGTAGGGAGGGGCTGAAGTAAGAGGTATGGGTCTGTGAAAACTGCCTCTGAGCTTTCTCCCTTTCCCCTCAGTTTTTGCAGCTTGAAAAGTCATTGTCAAATCCAGTGACCTTTTCTCAATCCTCCTTCTCTCCCTCTCTCCCTCTCTCCTCCCTGGTCCTCTCTTATCTCTAGGTTTTCCCTGCACTTCCTATCTGACTACTCCTTCCCTATCTCGTCCATTAGAGACCTGATAAGGCGAGGTGTCCCTCCAGGCTCTGAGCCTGTCTTCTTCCCTTTTCCCTCAATGTTATCTTCCTCGGTGATCTCATCAACTCTCAGGGATTTAATTATCATCTCTGTGCTGATGATTCTCAGATCTCCTTATCCAGGCCTTGCTTCTCTCCAGACCAGTCTCATATCTTCAACTGCCTTTCTGGCACCTCAAAGTGGATGTCTCAGAGACATCTTAAACTTAACGTGTCCCAGTTACTGTCCAGGGCATAACCATCTTCCCAGTCCCTCAGGTTCCCAACCTGACAGTCATCCTGGACTCCTTACTTTCACTCCCCCCAACACATATCCCATATCCAATATGGTGCCAAGGCCTATCAATTTCACCTCTGCAGCATCTCTGGTCCATTTCACCTCTGCAGCATCTCTGGTCCATTTCACCTCTGCTGTATCTGTCATATACATCCTCTTCTCTGACACTACCCCCACCCTGAAACAGGCCTTCATTCCCTCACTCCTGAATTATTGCAATAGTTGTTGGGGGTGGAGGTGGGAGGGACAGTCTACCTGCTTCGAGTCTCACCCCCTCCAGTCTATCTTCTACTCAGCTGCCAAGGTAATTTTCTTCTAAAGCATAGATTAGATCATGCCCCCCCCCCCATTCTAATCTCTCTATTACATCCAGGATCAAATATAAACTCCTCTGGTGTTTAAGGCCCTTCACAATGAGGCCCCTTCCCACCTTTCTAGTCTTCTTCTTCCTTCCACCCATTCTATGATCCCGCCCCCTGGCCAACACTCCATCTCCTGCCTCCAGGACTTTGCATTGGCTGTCTCCTATAGGAGGAATGTCCTCCTTCCTCACCTCCATCTCCTGATTTTTCCTCCAGCAGGAGGCCTTTCCAGGTCCCTCCCACTGCTAGTACCTTTCCCTGGAGATGACTTTCCATGTTCTGTGTAAAGCTTTTCAATGCTCCTAGTTATTTATGTGTCGTCTTCCCCATTAGGTTATGACCTTCTTGAGAGAAGGGAATGTGTGTTTGCCTTTCTTTGTATTCCCAGCATGTTAGCATGGTGCCTTGTACCCAGTAGGTGCTTAATTAAGGCTCATTGACTGTCAGCAGCCCCATGAGGAGGGTGGTCTGAGTATTATTCCCATTGTACATAAGGGAAAAATAAGGTTATATCACTTTGTTGTCTTGGGTCACACAGATAGCAAGGGTTAGATGTGAGACTGAAACCTAGGTTATCCTGCTCCCAGTCGGCCACACCATTTGTCTGTATGAACTATAGGCAGTGTCCTTTCTCTCAGGGCACACTGCTGTGGAGCCCTGAGTAGGAGGTCTGGGTTGGACTGGGCTGGGCCGGGCAGCCACTGTGTCTGGGGTAGCTCCTTAGAAGCCCAAGGTATCTTGGGCTTGTCACAAAGCCCTAAATAGACTTGTCCCTGTCCAGCCCTCCCCCTCCTCCCTCTCCTCGGATGGATCCTCTCCTTTACCACCCCCCACATCTCCAGGACTCCCTAGGGAGGTCTCTGAGTCTCTGTCTCTCATTGGTCTGAGAAAGCTGCCATGCCCTTACAGAGCTAGGGCCCCCGCCCTAGATGCCCATTTATACCCCCTCCCACTGGGTCCAGCTGCTGGGACTCCATCTCATGTCCTGACCTCTTACCATCTGCTGTGTACTTTTCAGGGAAGCTAGGTGAGCATCTGGGGGCAGGGGTCCCTGAGGGCTGGGAGCTCTGAGGACTGGGGCAAGGCTGCCAGGGAGGAGGCAGGTGAAATTCAAGGTGGAGACCCTCTGCTGGGAACAAGTCCTCTCTGGGAGGGCTCACTCTACTCTAGCTGACTCACAGTGAGACTTCCATGGTGGTGGTGAGGAGCCCAGGGCCCCCACAAACCTTTGCTTGTATCCAGAGGCTCAAGATAGAGATGAACATTGGACCTTATTTGGAGAAGTACTTCGTGGGTGTCTAGATCTCCCTCCCGAAGAAGTTGGGGTAAAGGAGGGCGTGGAAGTCATCCTTCTGCTCATTACCAAGGCCTGAGCAGAGCCGCCCCCCCCCCCCATGGGCTAAGGGTGGAGTTATTCTCTTCTCCCTGGAGCAAGGGGCTGAAGGGGGCCAGGGTTATAAATATCTCCTCTCCTCTGGCCGGAGAGGCCACCTGTGCTGGCCTGTCCCCTTAGTGAAGACTCAGCCCCCCTCCCAACTCCAGCCTGAGTTGGGTGGGGAAGTAGTCACTCAAGGAAACAGCTGCTACAGCAATTTGTAATCCAGCCTGCCCCCCCAACTCCCCGCCCCAGCCCCAACGCACAAATATCATCCCATTTTTAGAAACACTTTCTCCGACTCCTGGGCATTTTCCAAGACAAGGTTGGCCAGGAAGGAAAGGGTCCTTGGGTGGGGGTCCCAGGAACGCCTTAACCCTTTTGGGGGGAGGCCTCTAGTTGGGGAGGGGTCCCCGTTCACCTTCTATCTTCCTATCTCCACAGGTTCTAACACCAAGACCTCAAGATGGGAGAGTGAGTATCCCTTCTTCTGTCCCTTCCTTCCCTGCTTGAGCCTTACCTGATTTCCTAGCTCTTCTTCCCTAGGCATGACCCTAACTTGTCTTTTCTCTTTCCTCCTCTCCCTTTCCTCCTTCCCTGACCAGTGAAGAGGTAAGTACCAGCTGGGGAGCTGGGAATTTGGGGATAAGACCTGAGGCAGGGAGAAGGATGGGGATGTGGGCAGGGCAGAGGGGACCATTCCCCGGGCTTAGAGCTGCTCTTTATTTCCTCTCCTTGGGGCAAGGGGATTTTTTGGTTTCTCTCTCTCCACCTGCCCCCCCACCCCCAGCATCTAAAATGCTGTGGCCAAGCTAGTCCTCCCCAGACCAAATCTGTTTTTTAAGAAGCTGGCTCAGGCAAGGATGTGGTTACAGGGCCTAGGCAACCCCTCAACCTCCCGTGCTGTCCTCCAGGGACAGGGACTGTCTGGAGTAACTAAGAGGAAGGACCAGAGATCTCACTGGTGCAGTGGGTTCGTGACAAATAGGGGAAGATGGGTGTGAGTGTGAGTCTAGGGGAAGGATGATCCATATTGGAGGGGGGGAATCTGGAGTGTAGCCATGCCTATGCACCTGTGTCTGCCGCCCTGGAAGAGCCTCAGACTTGCCAGGGCCCAAGGTCCAGGATTTGGGGATGTGACTTAAATGGAGGGACCCCTCCTCACCCACTGGGTGACTCTTGGGGGCCTCACTCTCAGGGGTGGAAAAGCTGGTCTGCCCCTCGGCCTCCTCCCCATAAAAGTGTCTGGGCTGAAGGCTCAGATGCTCCCTGTACCCACTTGCCTGGCACCTATACCTGAAAGCCCAGCAATGCCACCCCAGCCCATTCCCGATTGACCCTTACCTCCTCATCATCTTTGGCTCCCTTCCTCCCCTATTCCAGTCTGTTCTGACCAGGTCCCACCCCTCTTCCCATCCCTGTAGCCCAGCTGCTCAGACTATTGCCCCCCAGGCTCAGACCTATCACTCTGGCCCACCCTGGGCCTGGTCTGGTTCCTGGTCAACCCTCCTTGTATACTATTTCCCTGCCCCCTATACACACACATTAGCCTGGTGAAACTGAGGAAGTGGTCAGGCTATACAGAAGAGCAGGGGAAGTGAGGAAAGAGAGGTCTCCCTTCCACCTGCCTTCCTGCACCCAGCCAGGGGTTCACAGCCATACCTCCAGCCTCTCCCAGGGAGCTGCTCCAGTACCTCCAAACCCCTCCCCCATCCTCAGGATGTATGAGGGTGTAGAACAAAATGGCTACCATGAAAAGATACAATGTATCATCTGCCCCCCCCAAACAGGGGAGGGAGGGGAAGAAGAGAGAGGGAAGGGGAGGGAGGGAGAGGGGAGAAGCAAGGGAGAGGAGAGAGGGGAGGGGAGGGGAGGGGAGGGGCAGAGAAAGAGCCAGAGCCTGGAGGCCAGTTTAGGCTCCACAACCCTGCCCCCTCCATAATGATATAAAATTATAACAAAGCATATAACAAAATATATCAAATTATAACAAAAAGACTTACCAAGTGCTTCAACCACCTGAGGAAGGCAGAGCCAGGAGCAGCATGCCTCATTTACAGATGGGGAAACTGAGGCTGGGGGTCACTGCTAGGTGGAGCAGGGCAGAGCTGACACTTGGCCTCTGAATATAAGAGGAAGGCAAAAAGGGCCTGCTGTAGCTAGGGCTATTTTCGGAGGGGCCATGAGCAGGTGGGGGAAATCTGCCTCTGGAGCCAGGACAGCTCTAGACACTAGTTGCTGTGTGACCCTGATTGGGCAAGTCCCCTCACCTCTGTCAGCCTCAGTTTCCTCATCTGTAGAATGAGGATAATGCCTTTAGGGCCTACCTTAAGGTTCCTTTGAGTTTCCAATGAGATAAATGGTGTCAAGCTCTGACAGAAAAGGTAACAGCTGTACAGGACACCTACAGGCTGCCCGTTGACATAGGAAACCGTGTAGTAATATTACCTATCTTTTTGGATTTTTACTAATTTTGTTAAATATTTCCCAATTCCACTTTACCCTGGTTCTCAGTGGGGACCTGAGCTGTGTTTGATGTGTCTGGTGTAACAGACCTAAAACCCCTCCAGAAACGTCAGTGATTATCATGATTCTGCAAAAGACTCTGGACCTTGCTTTTCCCTTTCTGCGAAGTGGGAGAGAAGCAGGTCCTGGCAGAGGCCGGCTACTGAGAGACTAGAGATGGTGGGGAGGGGGGTGTTGCTCATACCTTGAGTTTCTCTCTTACCTGGACAGGGATTGGAGTCTCTTAAGTCAGAGAAGGACCTGGAATGACGGATAGAGGCTGGATTGGGGAAATGGGGAAGGGGGGTGGGCTGGACACAAACCTAACCTGTTTTCCTCTGCCTTCTGCAGAAAAGGAACAGGGCCATTACCGCCCGCAGGCAGCACCTAAAGGTATGTGTCCTGAGGCTCCTCTCCCTCCCCCCCTTTGCCTCTGCCCCCCTTTTCCTCTCTCTTCCCCATCTCCCCTCCGCTCTTCTCTCTTCTCTCTCCATTCTGTGCCTTTTCCTCTCCCCCTTTCTCCCCTGCCTTCTCCTCTCTCCCCCCCTCTCCTCTCTCCCCTGCCTTTGCTTCCTTCTTCCCTATCTCCCCTCCTCTTTTCTCTCTCCATTCTGTTCCTTTTCCTCTCCCCCCTTCTCCTCTCCCCCCCTTTCCTCTCTCCCCTGCCTTTCCTCTCTTCTCTATCCTCCCCTCCTGTCTTCTCTCTCAATTCTGTTCCTTTTTCTCTCCCCCCTTTTCCTCTCTACCCTCCTTTCTCCCCTGCCTTTTCCTCTTTCTTCCCCATCTGCCCTCCACTCTTCTCTCTCCATTCTGTCCCTTCTCCTCTCTTCCTAGTAAGCCTTAGACTGTGCTCTCTCCCGAGGGTTGGCCCCTCTGCCCTCCTTGCCCAGCAGGCAAGGCCTCTTATTGGAGGCCCCTGGGGGTAGAAGAACCACTGGGTTCCCTGCTCTGGAGCGATTCAGTTCGATGTAATGTCTTTCCTGGGCCTCCATGTGCTGCATCCTAGGCTAAGGGGCAGATAGGAAAAGGATACAGAGCTTCTGGGGGGGGGGCGCATCTGAAGCCTAGAAGTAGGGAGAGATAGAAGGGACCCAAAAGAAGGATCAGAGAATAAGGATGTATGGGGGGTAATGATGGAAGGGGCAGACTGTGGCTGAGTTTCAAAATGGACTTCTTTGGTCCTGGGACAGGTAGAAGCTTGACCAGCTGCAGGGGTTGGCAGGCTCCCTGAAGGGGCTATTTCAGGGGGTAAGGGGCTCTGCCTCCCCATGGGATTCCCTCCAGATGTCCCTGCACCACTCACACATGTCCCCATCTTTTTCCGGGCCTGCTCCTCCCAGAGTGTCATGCTCCAGATAGCTGCCACTGAGCTAGAGAAAGAAGAAAGTCGCCGGGAATCAGAGAAAGCCAACTACCTATCTGAGCACTGCCCTCCCTTGCACCTGCCAGGGTCTATGTCTGAAGTGCAGGTAAGAGGGGCCAGTCCCTTTCCCCCTGCCCCCTGTCCCCAGCCCTATACCCTCTGGCTCTTCGTGGCATGGCTTGCCTACTGGCAGGATATGGGGCTGGGGACCAGGACACACGAGTCCCCCCGACTCAGTGCACCCCAGGGGAGTTCTTTCCTGGCTCTGGGCCCCAGAACTCTACAGTGAGTCCCCTCTCCCAGCCTGTGTGGGTCTGCCTTCCAGGATATTGTCCAAACCCTTGCTTCAGAATCCAGGTGCCCAGCCTGGGTCACCTTCACAGGGATGAGATGTATCCAGAATCCCAGTGGCAGGTATACATCCAGTCCAGCCCTCCCTAGTGGCGTCTCTTCCACACCATCCCCAGCAACTTGAAGCATCCAGCTGCTCTGCCTAAAGCCCTTCTGAGGTAGCTCCTGCCCATGCTGGACAGCTCCATCCTGGCCTCAGGTGGCAGGCAGTTCTACACCAAGAGCAGGTCTGGGCTCAAGACAGGGAGTCTTAGTGTCTGCCTGGCCATTAACCTGGACCCTCTCCCCTCCAGGACCTTTGCAGGCAGCTCCACGCCAAGGTTGATGCAGCTGAAGAGGAGAAATATGACATGGAAATGAAGGTTCAGAAAAGCACAAAGGAGGTGAGTGGAAGGCCCAGGGTCCCTGGCCCAGCCCCTGCTGCAGGCCCTGGGCCCACTTTGTCAGGCTAGCTCCTGCTGTGGCTCTGTTTTCCTCAGCTCCAGTGGGCACCTGGATCTGCCCCTTCTCCTTCCCTGCTCTGTCCTGGGGGGGTGAAGGTGGGGGAGGAGGGGTTGATGGAGCCTCCAGGGAACCAGAGAAAGGCCTCGACCTGTCTGGGGGTGCAGGAACCCCTGGTCACTGGGAAGGACATACCCCTTCTCATCCCGGGCATTCCCCTGCCTCCCTGCAGCTAGAAGACATGAACCAGAAACTCTTTGACCTTCGGGGCAAGTTCAAGAGGCCTCCTCTGAGGAGGGTGCGGATGTCCGCTGATGCCATGCTGAAGGCGCTGCTGGGCTCCAAGCACAAGGTGTGTATGGACCTGAGAGCCAACTTGAAGCAAGTGAAGAAGGAAGACACCGAGAAGGTAAGAGGGGGAGGGAAGTGTCCCTCCTCCCCCCAGCACTCAGCTTTCCCTCTCTTCCCCCCTCCCTACTCCTTCAGTCCTCTCCCCCTCCAAACTCCTCCCTCCACCCTCCACCCTCCACCCCTGGCCCTCATGGCTCACTGCCCACTCTTCCTTCCCTTGAGCTGCTCACACCCCCCTCTACGGCCCTGGTGTCAGCCAGACACAGCTTTCCCTGCAGTAGGTGGAATTGGGCTTGTTTCACATCCAAGGAAATGGGGACAGAGAGGTTGAGGGAGTCGTCCACAGCCGCCGACGCCATAAGTGGTGGATCTGCGACTTGGAGCCATGGGCCACGTGGGTGCCGGGTGTTCTGGGGCCCAGACGGCTTCGCTGTCCGGGAATAAACATTCACAACTCTGAGAAAGAAGTTGAGCCTCCAGGTCATCCCAGTTTCGGGCACCAGCAGTGCCTGACACCCCCAGCTTCAGGAAGCTCCCCCCCCCCCGCAAGAGAAAGGCGAAGATGTAGACTCCCTGCTGACCTTGCAGACGATCCCTTTGGAATCTTTTACTTTTAGGCCCTGAATGCTAGGGTGGTGTCTCACTCCCTGCAAGGTCTGACCTCTTGCGTCCCCCACCTCCCTAACTTTGTAAAGGGTTCTGAGGAGGTGGGGAGAAGGTGGTGATTCTCCCCTCCCTTCCAAGAGGGGAAACTGAGGCCCAGGGAGACCCTAGGCACTAGTGGAGCCAGGTCTATCTGACTGCTGTCCCTGCAGGACAGGCCTGCTTTCCCATGATGCCCCAAAGGACATCATTAAGGTCAAAGGCCCTGCTTGGGTGGGCTGGGCTAGGGACATGAGGAAGGGTACAACTGAGCTGTGTCTGCTGTCACCTCCAGGAAAGGGACCTTCGTGATGTGGGTGACTGGAGGAAGAATATTGAAGAAAAGTCTGGAATGGAGGGCAGAAAGAAGATGTTTGAGACTGAGTCCTAGGCCTGCTCGCCGCCCGCGTGCAGCTGCCCACCTGCCCGCCGCCCACTTGTCCACCCACCTGCCCACTGGCCTGCCCACCTGCTGACCTGCCCACCTCCTGGGCCTCCCCACTCCCACCCCAGCCCTATTTATTCCAGGCCCATCTCTCCTGCTTCTGTGCCGAGGCCAGCCCCACAGAACCCAGCTTCTCGCCCCGCCCTGTGGCCCCAAGGACCCCTGCACAGGCTCAACCCTGCTTGGCCGCACTTTTCCGAAGGGCCCAAGACAGTGAGAGCAGATGGAGAGAGATGCCAAAGTCAGCCCTGCCTAACACTAGGCCCCGGCCCCCCAGGTGTGCCGCAGTATGGGCCCCACCCTCTCCAGAAACTTTAGCCATGTAAATAAAGCTTTCGAAGTCCAGCCGTCTGTCTGTCCCTTCCCTCTCACTGGTCACTGCAAGCGACCACGGGGCAATCAACAGTCACACAGAAGCACTCTACATAAGGGAGACTGAGGCCTGGAAGGGCAGGGCCTTCCCCAAAGGCACCTCCTAAGTTAACGACTGGGACTTACTGAGTCTCAGACCCAAGGACCCTCCATTGCCCAAGGTGCCCTTCTCCCCGGCCTGATGGCCAAGACCGGCTCCAATCGTGCTTTTAAATCCCTGGTCTCTGGCTGCCGATTGGCTGGCAGTTGCAACCGATGAGGGGGCCTTGAAGGTTGCTGATTGGCTGCTAGAACTGGGGTGCCAGCCCCTCCCCATTTCTGAGTGGTCAAATCTTTTCAGGTTCAAATACTATTGGTTGCCCAGGGTGGGGCCAAAGGCAAGAAAAAGTCCCCTCTGGCCCTGCTTCCCACTGCTGTCCAGGGCCGGACTTTCTCCTTCCCCCGACGACAAAGCCAGGATGAGGAAGGCAAAGCTGGGCCTTCAGGTCTCCAAGAACGTTCACTGCAGGAAAGGGGGAAGAGACAAAGATTGGAGGCCGGCCTGTTCCACTCTTAATCCCCACTGACCCCAGGCAGTCTGCCCTGCTTGGGCACAGCTGTGCCACCGTGGGTGGTGGGGGAAGCTGGGATCCAGCAGGGCGGCGGGATGGGAATGAGACCCCTGTCATGGGGACGTGTCTGGCACGGGCCCAGACAAGGAGGGGTGTCATCCAGGGTAGGTGTCTCACAGGGGAGGCACGCCATCGCCACCACCCCTGCCCCCTACTGCATCTGCCCTGCCGGGCAGGCAAACCCACTGCTTGGGTTTTGACCCCCTGCATCAAGCCCATGTGGCCCCGTTGGGCAGGGGAGGAGATCAGTCAGCCCGAGGGTGTTGGTGGTGATCTGTCAGGCCCCTGGGAGGACCACTTTCTCCGTTAACTGACTTGTCCTTCACTACCATTCCCCCCCCCCCCCGCCATGCTCTCTGTGGTTAAGTTGGTGGGCCCTACCTTCCTGAGATCTTGCAAAGGCTCCCTTCTCTCCCCTGGTGCAGGCCCTCATCCCCTCCTACCGGGGTCTGCCTGCCTCAGTCTCTCCCCTCCAGTCCATCCTCCAGTTAGCCTCCAAAGTGATTACCCTAAAGCTCATATCACTGCCCCCTGCCTCCACTCCCTTTCACCCCCAGGAGCTAACCCAAGATGCTCTGCTCAGAGCTCAGAGCTCCTCATAGCCTGCCTCCTCCTCACTTCCAGTCCTCTGACGACTTACTCCCCAACACACCCTTCTTGGTCCAATGCCTCTGGCCTCCTGGAGGGTCCATGAACAAGACCCCGCATTTCTCAGCTCTGGGCATTTTCTCTGTCCATCCTGAGGCCTGGCATGCTCTGCCTCCCTTCTCTTCTTGGCCTCCTAGCTTCCCTGACTCCTTCAGGCCCCTCAAGGAAGCCTTTCCTGAGCCCCCTTCATGCCAACACCTTTCTCTGCTGATTTACCCCCACCTCCCCTTCTACAGTGGTTTGCATGTAATCTTGCCCATTAGACTGGGAGCTCCCTGAGGGCAGGGACTGGCTTTTGTCTTTCTTTGTATCCCCTGTACTTAGCCCAGTGCCTGGCACACAGTAGGTGCTTACTAAATGCTCATTGCCCACACCATGGGCCCCCTCAGGACCTCAGCCCTGCTTTGGGTACATGTCTCAGAGGACTGTGGGCCCTCAGCCTACACTATCCCTCCTTCTTAGCCTCATCTACATTTCCCTAACTCTAGTCTGAGCTAGAAGCACTGAGCCCCCAAATCTGCCTGCCTTCACTCCTGAATTGCCTGGGCCTCAGTGTTGTCCTGCTGCTCTTGCCACCACCTTCTGGGTCCTGCACTGGGGCTGGGCCCCTTCTCCCTCTCTGTCCCCCGCTATGACGCTCAAGCTCCTCGCCACGGGGATAGATGCCTTTGCTAGGGTCCATCCACAAGGAGCCATGACACCCTAGGTAGGTGCCACTCAGATGGACGGATGGAGGGCCCCTAAGCTTCCTGACTCATTCAAAACACAAGGCTGAAGTGCAGGCTAGAGATGGGGCAGCTGGCCAGCAGCAGGTCCTGTGAGACAGACCAGGTGGGCCTAGTGGGCCACCAGCTCATTGGGAGGCTGCACCCCAAGGTGGAGGCTCCCTTAAGGCATGATGTCCAGGACTCCTGAGACACCGCCCGACTGGGTGGTCACGTGGTCAGGAAGACCTGTGTTCAAAGCCTGCCTCTGACACTCACTAGCTGTGTGACCCAGGACATGACCAACCCTGTCTCAGCCTTCAGTGGAGATCACTGACCAGTAGTGACCTTGGTTCTGGCCACAGGGGCCAAAGCACGGGGCTTCCTGTGGGCCTGCTGGGTCACACATGGGTCTTGGCTCTGGGGACAGGGCTCCGGGGGAGGAACCAGGATTTCAGGTTGAATTTTTTTGGGGGGTACAGTTAGAATAATAAGAATTCCAAAGCGTTTTCTGTCTCTTTCCTCCAGTAGAGGCTAGGAGTGTGATGGGGCTGGGGCATCCAAGGCAGAAGCCACCAGTCCACGAGGAGCTGGATTCCAAGATGGTGAACCCTACACTGGGGGAGAAGGACCTTTCTCAATGTGGGTCACGCAGGGGCAGGCCCACCAAGACCTGGGGAAGGAGGCAGTGCGGTCACAGAATGAGGCCCCCAGTGGGCCAGGTCTGAACTAGATCCTGGACTGTATCCTACCTGCAGCTCAGATCTCCAGGAACCCTGAGGCAGCCAGTAGCTGCCTGGGGAGCTTCTCTCCTGACAACCCCTAAACCTGCCTCTGCACATTCCCCCTTGGGGCCTGGTTTTGCCTTCTAGGCCAAAGAGAACAAAGAGGGCCCCCCTTTACAAGCTGGAAGGCAGCAAACAGCACCCCCCTCAATCTTCTCCTCTCCAGATTCCACCTCCTCACCTTCCCCTGCCTTTCCTATGTCATGGACTCCAGGCAAAGAAAGGCTATTAGGAGGAAGGAGGCCATGAGGGTGCTTCAGAAAGTCTCCCCCTGGCTCTTCCCAGCCCCCCAGGCCCCACTTCTCCATTCCAGCTCTGCTTCCAGGGGGAGCTCCCAGGCCCGGAACCATCCAGACCCACAGCTCAGCTGCACCAAGGGTGGGGCCACGGGGCCTCCCCGTCCAGCAGAACCTTGGCATCCCTTGGCCCTCCTCCAGCCAGGCAGGACGTGACCCCCTCCAGATGCTTGCTCAACACTTCCTGGAGGGCGGGAGGTTTTTCCTCATAAAATTCTTCTCTCTCTCTCTTTTTTTTAGTCAATTTTTAGAAAGAAACAAACAATCCCCCCACCCCCCAAACCTCAGCCTGTACCAGCGGAAGGAGGAAGTAGTGTTGTCCTGAGGAGTGATACCCGCCCCTGAGTAGGAACCCACAGGCCCACACACACCTGCACTCGCAGGCACGCACACAGCCCACCAGCACCACCGCTCCCAGGCAGGCCCACGCCGACAGGCCAGGGCCAATGGCGGAGGCAGACATGGACCGGGACCCATTGGAGGGTGGCCCTGAGGAGGAGCAGCATTTGCTGGTGGAGACCGCTGGGTAAGGAAGGCCTGGGCGGCACTGGCCAGCCTCAGGAGCCCCTAGAGCTGGAAGGCTGGGGTGATCCTACCCTACCTCCCGAGAGGTGCTGCTGGGCTTGCGGCCCAATTCTGGCCTGCCGCTTCTGGCGTAGGTGACCCTGGGTGCTTGCCCTGGTGCCTCTGAGAGCATTTCCTCTTCTGTAAAATAAGGGGGTTGGCCTAGGGGTCCTCCGTTCCTGCCAGGTCTAAATCTCTGGCCCATGACCTGAGGAAAGGCTGGCTTGGCCACCCCCGGGAGGCTTCTCTGGTCAAAGAAGGGCCAGGCCTGGCTGACCTGGAAAGGAGAAGACTGGGGGAGGGCAGGGGGATTGAACAGAAGTGTCTCCAGGAGTCCAAGAGGCCCCGGGTTGGAGGAGAGAGCAGATTTGTGCTTCTTGGTTCCAGTTGGAAGCCAAAGAGGAAGAATTGTTGGGCTATCCCAGCGTGGAGGAGGCTCCCTTAAGAGGTAGCAGGCACCTTCCCATGCAGAGCCTGAAGGGCCCTGTTGGGCACGTTGTGGAGGGGATGGGCTGGCCCCATTGGCCCCGGTGGCCTCCTCCCACTCTGACCTTAAATGATTGGGGTGTTATCAGGGTAAACCTTCAGGGACAGTGATTGGCTGGGGGATGGGGAGAGGTTCAGGGGCTCCTCCGATGCTGGGACCTTCTTCTGGGCTTATGGGAGTCAGGGGAAGGACATAAGCATTTCTACAGTATCTACCGGATGCCAGCATTGTGCCAAGCACTTTCTCTTATTTTATGCTTGAGGAACCCAAGGCAAACAGCCATTAAGTGACTTGCCCAGGGTCACACGACTAGTCAGTATCTTAGGCCAGATTTGTACTCAGGGCTTCCTGACTCTAGACCAGAGGTCTAGCCACTGCACCAGCAGCCAGGGGAGTGCACTCCCAGGATGGGGTGGGGAGGGGAAGAGAGCTCGGCAACATGGCTCCCACATCCTGGCCTCCGAGGCACAGGCCCCACCAGCTCTGGTGTCTGGGGCCTTGGCTAGGAAAGAATGATGACCCACTGTGAGGCCAAGTCAAACCTGGGAGCTGGTGCTAGGAAGAACTTGGCCTGAGGGAGAAAGGGGGGAAAGTGGGACTGCGGCCTTCAGGAGAAGGAACCAGAGGCCCTCCCAGAGGCCCCTCAGAGGCCCAGGAAGCGCCTGGCAGAGGATCTCCCCCTGCACTCTGGGGTGTTTCCCTGAGGAGATGGCCAGGCTCGAGCCTGGGGATGGCTGGAGGAAATGCTGGCTGCTGGGGGGCAGGTAGCCCCTCTTACTATTTCCTCCCCACCCCAAGCTGGGGCAGGGAGCAGGTCTCTCACAGCCCTCTGTGGGCATCTGGGCCTCAGCTCCTGTCCTCCTCTACTCTCCTAATGCCAGAGTCAGACCAGGCCAATGCCCAGCCCTGCCTGGGCCGCTGGAGGCCAGGACTGATCTCTTTTGCCTCCCAGGCAGCACAAACATGGTTGATTATTTGTATCCCACACGGCCAGCCCTGGGATCCCAGGAACCTGAGCTAACCCATCCCTTGGCCCTACTTAGTCATGTTACAGAGGTGGAGACTGAGGCGACCCAGACTGGGGAAGGGCCTAGCCCAAGGCCCCAAACCCTGCCCTACTGCTGCTCCAGGGGTGGGGGTGACAGAGGCCAATTAACCGCATGAAACACAGGCCAACAGCCTAGGGTGGCTGAATGTATTTCAGGGGTGAACTGTGTCATTGCTGGAGATGGACGCTTGGGGAAGGGAATGATCAGCGTGGGAGGGGCTGGTGTGGGTTGGGGTGGTACAGGTTCTAGGTCAGGCTTAGTGGGATCTTGGGCGGGGACACCAGAGAAAAGCATAAGCTGGCCGGGGGGGGGGACTGGCACCGAGAATGAGCCCGGCTGAAGGGTTGGGGGTGAAGTGGCCGCCCAGGTGATGGTGGGGGAGCAGCAAGAAAAAGGCTAGAGGGCCTGGGGTGGGGCTGACTGTGGAAGGCCTTGAATCCAGGCTGAGGCCTTGAGACCCGATCTTAGGTGCTGACCTCGTTACTGATCTGAATGTTTCTGGAAGTGGCTTTGGGAAGTGGGCTGCCATGCGCTGGGGCTCTGTTGTGGCCAGCGTGGCAAGCCCTCTGGCCAGGGCTGGGCAGGGGTGGGAGCTCCAGACGCCAGGGAAGGAAGGAAGTAGAGAGGTTCTGCCCCGACCCTGGACGTTCGCAGCCCTGTTGACCTATGAGGAAGCTGAAGCTCCCAGCTCCCAGAGGGGAAGTGGGTGAGCTGGAGACTCTTCCGCCCAGGGCCTTGGGACAGGCACTGCCTTTCTTGACTTGGGGCGCAGTGGTGGCTGAGCAGAAAGTAAACACCTGGAGTTTGAGACAGTGCCTAGAGGGGGCTCTGCCTGGGCTGAGCCTTCTGCGCTCTGGGAATGGAGCTGATTTCTGTCCCAGCCTCTGGCTCCCGGTCTGCTTGGAACCCTCACAGGGCCCGGCAGAGGCAGGAAAGTGAGAAGTTCTGAAATGCCCAGAATTAGTCCGAGCCCTTCGAGCTCAGGAACGGCACGTAGGGTGCCCTGGGCTGGTAACACCTGCTGGGGAGCCTGAGCTCTCCGGACAGCTGCCCAGGCACCCAGCAGCTCTACCCCCTCCCCAAGATGGAGCCTAACAGTCACCCGAGCAAGCATTTCGTGCAGGCTGCCTTGTCCCCAATGTCCTAGTCCTTCTCGGGCCCACGTTTTGCCCATGAATGGACATGGGCCCAGGCCGGGGGCACAGCCCTCCCCCAGCCCTTCCTCCTCGGCCTCCTCCTTCACCCCCCCCCACCTTTCAGCTGTTGTGAATTCCCCAGATCCCTGGGTGAGCCAGCAGCTCCTACCCAAAGTGGGCCTGTTGTTAAGGGGACTTGGAGCCAGGGGAAGGAGAAGGGGCTGAGACACTGATCCCTCGGCAGCTCTCCAGGCTTCTTTGGAGGCCGACTCCAGGAGGCCGAGGGGGGAGAGCTGGAGGAGGAATGTCACTGGGTGCACCTGTGCTCCCTCCATCAAGAAGATGGGGCCCAGGCAGGCCTCGCAGGGGGAGGTCTTGCCAGAATCATTTCTAACCAGCTACGGTGTCTACATACTAGATATTTGGGGAGATTTCCCCTGGAACCTTAAAGGGGAAAGAAAAAGCAAGAGAGAGAGGGGAGGGAGGGGGAGAGTGACAGAGACTCCCGGGGGGTAAGAACTGAGGCCAGCCTGGACACCCCCAGCCCCCAGGTGCTGATGTCACCTGCCCTTCTTCTACTACCCTCCACAATGCAGAACTGAGACTCGGCCACTTTCACAATGAAACCAATTCAGATATTAACCCAGAGAAACGGGATTTTCCAAAGCCTCTGTCAGGTTGAAGTGAGTGCAAAATTCCCCCCAGTGGGTGGGACTGTCTTTACCAGGGCCTCCATTAGCAGTCCCTGCCCACCCCCCACCCCCATGTCCTGCATTCCCAGGCTCACCAGAGCAGGGCTGAGACACAAAATGTCTGAGCTGGGAAGGATCTGAGAATACGTCAATCTGTGCAAAGAGGCCCCTTCCCTCTCTCTACTTCCCCATCTCTGCCGGGCCCCTCAGGGCTTCTCGGTCCAGGAATCACCACTGATTCTTCCCAGAATCCAAGAATTCTGGGTCTCATCTCGCCTGACCTTCATGTTAACAAGAAGCTTCCCTCACTCAGGCTGGGTCACCCCAGCCCTCAGGCAGGCGCAGTGAGAAATGCTGCAGGAGGAGGCCCAGCTCTGCCAGCAGTACCTGTGTGACCTCAAACAAGCTATTAGCCTCTCAGACCCCAATGACCTTCTGGGTAAAACAAGGTGGCCTTTGAGGTCCCTGAATCTTCCCGGCCTAAAACCTTGCCTCGGCTCCATTTCCTCCGAACAGCTGCAGACCCAGGCCCGAGCAGGCCACTCAGGGTCCTTCACAAGGGGCCTCCCACCTGCACCCCGATTTTTAGCTCATTCTTACCGTCTTCCATGAGCCTTGGGCATTCTCCATGATAAGCTGTCCCCCAGCCAAGGCTCTGCTCCTGTTGAGAACATGCTAGAACACTGGCCAAATCTAAGAGGAGAAAAGTAACAGGGATAAAGGTAAAGTCCTGCCCTTGGACTCCAACATCGATGCTGCTGGCACACCATAGGGGAGATGGCTAGGTAGCAGCTTATCCGAAAAGGAGCTGGGGGTGTGAGTGGACCTCAAGTTCATCAGCAGTCAACAGCATGGTAAGCAAGCCAGGAAGGTTGGTGTTATCTTGGATTGCATTAAGAGGGGAGGGCACAGAGTCCAGGTCTAGGCAGGTGACAGTCCCACCTAGTCAGGTCCCCAGGGTGGGACTGAGGATTGTTTTTAGTGCTGAGCATTGGTGAGACTGTCTCCAGAGAAAGGCCTGGAATCCGCAGTTGGAACTCTGGTGATCCAGGCTAGCTTAGCGAGCCACCTTCTCAGAGAAGCCTTCCCAGATTGCTCCAGGGGATGGCTAGGGCACTTTGCTGTCTGCGTTTCTAGCTGACTCTCCCCCTCTCTTCTCCAGTCACCTTGCATTGGCTTCCCTGGCTACCTGCTGTCCCCCAGCTCCTGTGGGCCTCAAGCCCTCAAAGCCCTATTGTCTCGGCAGCCCCAGCTTGTGGTATGGGGCCCCAGACAGAGGAACAGTCTAGTGGTATTTGTTGAATTGAAGATCAGAGATTGGAAAGAATTTGGAGAAATCCGAATCAGCTTTCTTGTTTCACAGGAGAGACTGAGGAAGTTCTGTGGCTTTGGCCCAGACTGACTCTCATCTCCGATGCACTGGGTCTGATAGCAGGGGCAGCTAAGCCTGTAGGGCTGGGGGGGGGGTGGCGTGCCTGGGGAGGGGGCTTCCCTGGGCTCTGTCCCCAAGAGTGACCCCTTGGAGGCCTTCCAGACAGCCTGTTTCCTGTTCCCCCCAGCCAGGGCTGGGCCCTGCCCCTTGCCCTGCAATCCCTCTT